ACTTATACTTACTTATACTCATAAAATAAAAAAGGGCAATTATGTCAGCAGAAAGCATTAAAGGGTACAAGCTAATGTACCATTGCTCACACTGAAGATGGACACCAGATTAAGTTGTGAAGGCAATTTGATCAATGATTTAAAGTACTTTGCTGAAGTTATATGTAATTTTAAAATAGAGGAGCACTTCCGGTGTTATTCCTTCAGTAGAAATGACACAGTAGAGACAAGATGGACACATCCAAATTTGCAGGAATACAATCCAATAAATGAGTCAAAAGGCAACTCTAGTTATGTATGAAACTAGGAATGATATAGATTTTTATTTTTTTTTGCCCAGTAGTACCAGTATCCAATATCTAATGCTAATAGCTGATATTAGATGATTTCATTATGAAGTAGGGCTGGCCTCTATGGACCAATCATAATGAAAAAAACATAGATTTTATTTGATCTTATCTTGATAAATATAACATGTAAGTAAACATTCATTTCTTGAACTTTTGTTACTTAGTTTTGCCTGTTATATATGTACACACACTACCAACTATAATCCATTTACATTGCAACTTTATATTTTAAAAGTATTTTCTCTATCATTCCATCTTTTCAGCTCTTCCTCTCTCCTCTTCTCTTTTCTCTCTCTCTGTGCAACACATCCCAGGCTACCGGCGCCGTCTCCAGGGAACCGAGCACCTAATGGAAACCTGGCGTCTGGCCACGTACTGTAAATACCCAACAATTTATGGACAGCGCTGGAGAGGGGGAGCGGACGGACGGATGGAAGAGGAGGAGGAGAGGAAGTGGAGACGAGATAGATCGGAAGGGGCCAAATGAGCCAGAAGAATGATTCAGACCACTAATGAGTAATGAAATGAAATAAGCTGATAAAAGCCATGGTTAAAGACACATAGACTATACAGGAAACAGCTGAGCAGCAGGAAAATGATATGCTATGAGCTGCAGAGGAAGTGCAGTAAAGAGGAGGAGATTGAAGGACTGCTTATCAATTTGGTGACTTTGCAAAAACGGAAGACATGCCTCCTTGGATCTCCTTGGTTCATGCATTGTCATTAGACTTTGGATTTATTTACTTTCAAGTAGGAGTGGGTGATATTGGGAAAAATTTAAATATTTTGGAGTATCACAACAATTCAGGCAATATTATCTCAAACCAGCAGGATTTTTATTAGCTTTTTGTAGCATTTTCATTATAAACTATGCAGTTAATATTATGAAGGTTGTTTTGAAGAAAATGTAATATTAATAGAATACATATTTCAATCTGGTTGTCTCTCTTTACAATTAGGCTATATTTTGACTTTTATTTTTAATACATGGTAAAGCAGGTTCAGGTGATATAGAAATGTATTTTAAAAAACTGCCTTCAATAGAAAAGAACTGAATTAAATAAATTCCGCTGGCACATACAAGAAGACCATGTAAGCTTGCCATTTGTGTAGAACAGGCACTTCATGTACCCAAAATTGTGGATGGTTCAATTTCCACTCACAGCAATGTTCTTGTCAAAACATTTCCAATCAGTATGAGGTGTACCATTGGTGACACAGGGCCAAAAGTAAACATCCAAATGAAACTGAAAGTATAAATAATAATAATAATAATAATAATAATAATAATAACTATTATCATCATAATCATCATCATAATCATTATTATTATTATTAATTCTGGGACAGCACTGTATGAAGGCATTATTGAAGCATTCTGAGGCAACAACAGCAGGTAAAAAGTCTTTTTGAATTTAGTAGGATAGTAGTAGTAGGGGTAGGATGCAAATTAAAAAACTTTTTTTTTCTGAATTAAACATACCAATGTACCAATGCAGACCTGTACACTACAACTATTACTTAAAATTCTTCACTGAGAAGAGCAAGAATTGAAATGTACAAGTATACATCACATTCCATCTCTTACAAAGTGTTAATAGAATTAAAAGCCTAAGTTTTTTGACTCACACCTTGCCGTGCTGTGACTTCATTTACCTCTCCTCCTTCCTCCCTCCTTTTCCCTTCCACACACTAGACCTACTTATTATGTTTTACTGTTGTTTTCTGAACTTTACAGGGACCTCTTAAGCTCTGCTCTTTGATGGGGTTGAGGGGAAGGAGTAGGGGACTTCTACGAATAAATACAGTGGAAAATATTAAAACAAGTCCAATTAAGAGATGGAAGACAATGACTAAGTAGAATAGTGGCGCTTATATTGCAGTGTACGTGACTGGGGAGCCTATGAGATGTGTGTGTAGCCAGCTCCAGTGGAAGTGTCTTATATAAAGTGGATTAGAAACAAATGTTTGCATTCATGTGGATATAATCAGGTCCGGAGTTCTGCGGCTGGACTCCAGAGGACTTCAGAGAAGAAGAAATAAATAAATACAAATGTTTGAAAGCACTGAAATAACCAGAGGATTCAACTCAAGCAAATGAGTTTACAGAAAAGATGATGTACAGTTTACAAAATTAATAAGATCATAGTAACAAGAATCAATAGCAGAGGAAGTGAGCAAATGAAACTGTGTAGGGAGTGATTCACTACGTTAACATGCACAGTGCACACCAGGAAAACCAAATCTCTGACCTAGTCCGACTGGAAGATGATTTCAGAAATCTGTGTAAACACAGAACTTCGATTGGGGGCGTTGCGGATAGCATCTCCCAAATCACATAAACACATCTGGAGAGGTCTGATCGTATTCAAAAGCAACCCTGCATGTAACAGCGCACTCTGAACATACCAAACCTGAACCACTCGAGCTTTCATGGAGCTAATCCTGGTTCAGATGTTTTGTGGGAATCCAAACAATTTGCAAGTCAATAAAGTCAATTTGCATTTATTTACCAGGAAAATAAATCACATCAGGCTCATTGCGCGGACATGTCTGTGCCAAACTTTAGCTGTTCCATGCTGTTTTAATCAATCATCCATAGAGTCTTTCTGCATCACAGTCCTTGCGGTCTGCAGCACTGAGCCACAGGTAACCTTTTGGCCATGGCACAGCAAGAGCTATATCATGCCATGCAAAACATCCATGTAGATTTGACCCTGGACTGTAAACTGTAAACCGGCATATTGTACATGTAATCACTAATTTTAGATCAGCAGCAATGGCACACCTAGTGTTGTTATTTTGGTCCAGAATGTTAAAAGAGAAAGTAAAAATTACAGGAGCTTTGATGCATTTCATAGCACTGCAGAGAGCAAATAAACTGAGCAAAGCATTTCATAGCATGTTTAAAAGTCAAAAGCTCAAAGTAAATGTGTTGTTGATATGTATATTCCAAAAACATAGCAGTTTCTTTTAGCAATTATATTATAAAGTTTTAGTACCTATTTGGCTTTTTGTCCTGCATTCTCTCTGACCAGAAAAGCAAGACAAACACTGGCTCAAGAGCATAATGTAAAGTCTCATTTTGTGTCCAAAAAACACTATACAAAGCCAGTGAACTAAAACGAATACTTTTGCTGAGTGCTTCACTTCTACTTAACAAGACTGCCTGTACACTGTGTAAGCAAAATGCGGTAGAGGGAGGAGGGACATCTCTTTTTTCTACACTCATTGGCAGGAACCATCAGAGATCTGCTTTCAATTACCGGTGGAGGATGATGTGAGCCCTCTTCCTGTCCGTTATGTCTTGCACATGCAAACTCCAAAACATCCTGCTCTCTTTGCTCACCTCCTCTCCCCTACCCCTCCATCTCTCTCTCTATCTCTCTTTTTGCTTGTCCAGTGCAGAGGCATTCATCACATCCAGCACGTCCACAGTCACTCAGCCTAAACGTCCCGGGACTGGCGCGGTCAATGGTCCGGAGAGTTTTGGGGAGTGCATGTGAGTGGAGAGGGAGTAGTGATGACTACTCTGTTTCTTGTGGCTATGAGCTGTGAGCGCTGACAGTTTGCTTCATGAATTTGTTTTGCTGTTTTGGATGAGGTAGAGACAACATGATGTAAACCACTCCACTTCCTCCTCGGGACAGAGAGGGGCTGAGTGGAACTGACGCAAGGCTGATTACAAATACTGGAGCCACAGTCACTGTTTTGGTTAAGCTGCAGACATTTCTAATTTTACTCACATAATGCAATCATACTGACTGATATTGAATGAAAAAGTAACTATGGGCCATTGCTGGGGTCCATGCACATTATAGGACCATGTTACAAGCATGTGTTGAGGACATGAAATTTTCAGATTTTTTTATTCTCACCACATTGTACTCATTCACACATGTAGCCTGACCTGGGAATTTAACTTGCAGTTTGCCAGAACTGGGTCATGTGTGAACAAAACCAGAACTGACTTCCCTGCAGTTTTGATCTGCCCCAGGTAAATTACTGGGAATACATGTAAGGCTTGTTTGTGTGAACAACGCCAGAAAACTACCATTACCATCATTTAATTTCCTCAGTTACCAGCATGATTTCCTGGTTATAAGCTTGGTTTTCTGGTTACGCTATACATGATAAAGTTATGTTCCGTTATTGTTCAATATAAATGATGTAGCAAAATGTCATTTGTTTTGGCCCAGTACACATACTCACAGGTTAAAATTAGAACGTTTTTTGCTATCTGTATCTAATTATAACGTGAACGAAGATGCAAGGCCGGTATTAGAGGTGCCAGATTTGGCAGTGACCAAGCTTTGGAAAAAAGCCCAAAAAAGGTGACACAAGACCTATAAAAAGAAGCCTCAGATAGAAGCAACTAGTTAAATGTTGTGTACTCCAATGAGCTGTTCATATTTTTGTTAGCATATTTAGATGAACAACTGATTGTTTATTCATCCTTTACAGGGAAATTCAAGTGTTTTCTGGATTTGCACAGTATATAAAACATTCAATTAATAAAATAAGTTGTACCAAATATTGGTAATTTTTTGATGAGGACACAACATTATGACATGGTTCAAAGATAAAAAAAAAAAAAAGAATAAAAAACAATATGAATATAATTGTAATTGTTAATGTACTTGATCTCACCTTAGGAACATCTATAGCCACCTCCCTCATGGCACTGGGCTTCACCACAGACATGGCCCAGGTCAAGTCCTGCAGGGTCACAGTGACTCTCCCCTTCAGCTGCTGGTCAGACAGGAGTGTGGATCCTCCCAGCGCTCGCCTTAGTGCATGCAAACCTACACACAAATATGTATAGAAATAAATCATTCATATTTTATCCCAGTCTCCCAACACCAAATGCACAAAAGTGCAGTGCACATTTCAAAACACAGTTGCAAGAACATTTGAGAACTGATATTAACTTCTAAACTAATAAATCTCCAATACATTTAAAGCATGTTTGTAGAGGTCTAATCTACATGTTTAGAAAACTTTGTCAATAAAAATACAGGATTTGTTAACAAGCAGTCTCTGTGCATTTGTTACATGTGCATTGGCAAATATCACGGTGTTTTATAGACATCTGATTGCCAGCAAACCTGAATTTGAGATGAAGGAGGAGAGCCCTGAGGCCCCTTTGCTGAATCGCAGAGAGTGAAGAAAGCAAAGGGGAGCCCTGCTCCGAGAGCAGGTTAAACAAATGACCAGGACAACCAGCAAGTCCTAACTGAGGTTGCTGAGGCCCAGGAACAGGAGGAGGCTCCTGAGGAAGATCTGCTGAAGCAAATTCAAATGCTGAAAGCTCAGCTAAGGAAGGAGCAGGAGGAGAAAGAGAAAGCTCTCGTGTGTATGTGGAAAATCTCCAGAAGCAGGTACAATGACTCAAAAAGGAGAAGTCCACTGCTTTTATCAAACAAGTCAGGGCAGAGGTGCAGGGGGAGATTAAACGTCAGGCTAAAGCCAACTCTTTCCTTCGAGCGCGACTCGCCCAAGTCAACCATAAGGCCGGGGAAAAAGCCCAGCATCTCCTGGAAACCATCACTAAGAAGGATCAGCAGGAGACACAACTAAGAGACCAGACCACTGCTCTCACTCAGGATCTGGAAAAGGAGCAGGTGGAGAAGCAGGGCCTGGTGTGTCTGGTGGCCAAACTGCAGTCCTCCCTGAAGGGGAAGGAACAGGCCCCTGCAGCAGCTCAGAGAGGAGTGGAAATTCTGGAAAGAGAGAAGCAAGAGCTGACTGCAGAAGTGTCTGTTCTGCAATATGCCCTGACACAAAAGAAGAAAGCCACTAGAAAGGCTCTGTGCCAACTGGAGCTATCAGAGTTAGTCAACAAAGTCCTGGAGATGGAAGGGTCCAATCTACAATCTGCTTTCACAGAGGAGAGGAACTTCATCAGAGAGCTCCAGGACAAAATGGAGGAAGTGGAGAGAAAGAATCAGTGGCTCACCACAGAAGTGACATGTCTAAAATCTGCCATGACCGAAGAGCAGGAAAAACACCTACAGGCCCAGGCCAAACTTCAAACCCTCCAGGATGAGAAGATGGGCCTGAGTCTATCGTGGCAAAGCTTAGGTCCACACTCAGTGTGGAGAAACACTCTACACTATTGAGTCCTCCAATACAGAGAGAAAAGCAGAGCCAGATAATGAAAGAGCAGAAGGCAAAGACACAAGCCTTAAATCAGACTCTCCAGACAGAGAGAGACGAACATTTAAGGCTGTGACTGAGCAGTGCGATGCTGCTTATGTCTCTGTTCTGCAACAAAGAGACCAGCTCACACAGAAAGTGCAAAACATCATCCACGAGATGAAGCTGCAGGTGCAGCACAGAGATGAGGTCGGTGCTTTACAGTGCACTGAGGAGTACAAGAGGAACATGTTGCAGGAGAAGATCCAGGAACTTTCAGAGCCTCTGACCTCCTCAGAAGAGACTAACTCTGCTCTGAAGAGACAGAACCAGGAGCTCCAGGACAACATGGCCATCAAGGAGGAGGAGTGGAAGGAGACCATCAAACAAAAGAAGAGGAGGAGATGGTTCTCCCGTGGTACATAAACCACCTGGAGTATTAAGTGAACCTTACTGAAAAGTAAGATACAATTTACTGTCCTCTTACAGGGACATTTTTCCCTTCTGACGGGAGAAACTGGAGTGCCCTGGGGAAGACAGTAGATGTTTAGATAATTAATTAGGTGGAACAAATAGGTATCAATTTCTAAATTGGTACAGAAATGTGCAATGTCTGCACATAAATACATGGGTGACCCAAGAATCAAACCTGGAACCTTCATGCTGCACGTTGAGTGTTAAACCTTTAGCTGATTAATTAAATGGAACAATTAGCTCAAGTATCAATTGGTATTGGAGTTAAGGCTACATGTTTTCCATTCTTACCTTATTATTAATGTCTATTTTTATATAAAATATAAAATAAAAATATGAACACTGTATGTTGGTGTGACTGCACTATTATTTGTCTTTCTTGTAAATGCACATTCATATAATGACACTAAAGACCAATATATTTTCATATAAATACATTTGTACTTTTCCTTCAGTGACACAACTGTAATGACTGCAGCACTGATTCAGCCGTTGACATACTGACTATCAGCCATCTGACAGTCTAATACAGACTTAAGAATACATGGAGAATGAGTCAGAAGATTAGCCATTATATATTAAAGAAGAAAATGTTGAGCACTAGGCAGTTGGTGAATACATTTTCTGAGCACCCAAGCCTCAAATGCAGGACAAAACACAGATGGATCAATTGAAATACAACTTTGAGCAACGACTCACAAGTCCATTTCACATGTGTCTCCTTTAAGGTATAGTTTTTCATCAAATTCAAATTGCACTGTAAAGTAGGGCTGCAAGATGAATTGCTATTGAAAGCAAATCTTAAAGGCAGCAGTTTTTGAAGTACCATAATTTCTTCCACAAAGAACAAAATAGCAACAATAATAGAATAATTTTATTAAAACAAACCGAAAAATCTAACTGAAAAGCTTGTCAGGAAATTAGCAATTAGATATTTTTGCCAAACCGTTCAGCCCTATTGTAAGGTCAGAAAAGGTGAATCATCTTGAGGTCTTGGAGATGCCACACTTGCCGCTTCCTTCCTTGTGGTTTGGAGGTTTTCAAAACACTCAGGCTCTGACACGTTCTGTTGATACACGCCTATCTCCCTATGGACACTAATTCCCCTTTTCACACAGGAAATAATTTGACGTGCATTATTGAGAAGAAAAGAGTTTAGGCAGAAAGGATGTGTGACTAGTGCTGAATGCAATGGGTCTGAGGGCTGGGAGCATCCGAACAAAAAGCTGCGTGTTTTAGCAAAAAAAGAGCTTTTGTTTTGTAAAGGCGAAGACATGTCATGGGTTGATTGATAGAGGGAAGAATCATAAAGTTATTATCATTTGTGTTTTGGAGATTGCCAACTATTCTATTGGTTGCTATAAACAGTTTGTGGTGTATTTTATCGTATTGTGTTAAAACGAGTGATGCTGTTGTGTTTTGGCCTGTGGGAGTTCAATTTTATTTTGTTATTTCAAAAACATCTCAAGACAATGACGGCAATGCTGCAATGTTGAAGATCTTGTGTATGGTGAGAACGCACTTGATTTTTTTTCCATTTATTTCAATACCATTACTTTTGTCTTTCAACCAACCCACCACATAAATGCACCCTCTTTCCCTTCCATTTTGTTTTTCAGCTATGTGCCACCACAACTCTCTCCAGACCTGCACGTCTCTCTTTTGACATTTACATTTTTCACCAATTAAAAGGGGAGATATAATGTAAATTTTACATTTGTGAGTTTTGCTTAATGAGCTAAACATTGTTCCAGTCTGCGTTTTACTAACTTTTCTAGAGGAGGGAACGCCACCTGGTATTCTCCATGGGAATGCTCCACAATATGCCATAAGATTTTCCATCTTCGTGATTTCAAGCAGGTGACGCCACTAGATCAAATCTGTGGAAAAGTGACCACACCCACAGTAAGAATGAATGAAGTATTTTTAAGCAGTACCACCTTATGTAACAGTAAGTCTTGACAATATGTACCCAAATATTTTTTCAATGCATATATTTTTCTTTGGGCCTCCGGTCTACTCAAACAGATGTTTTTTTGTCATATACGTACATATACCATGAACACTTCAGGCAAAGCTGTAACCTCTCCTCCGAGACAAGCTGGTGGTGTACTCTCCACCAGAAACCTTTAATTTATTTTGAATTCATTTCTGTGCACTACTTTTAGTACTTTTGGATTAGAACCAGTTGTGCCATTATTGGAAATATATAATTAGTCAGAATATGCTTTGCGAGTTGTAAAATTTTAAATACTGAGGTGACTAAAACAGAAAGTCAATGAAAAACCATAATACCCCATCTGTAACAAAATCATATTTCTGTAACATGCAGTGTTAACACTCCTAAAGCCAAATCTTACACATGATAAAACCCCCAATAATGTGTCCACCAGTGTATACAGCCTCCTTCATAATTTCCCTCGCAGATGTTTATGACTCTCTACTCCAGAGACTGCAGTGGTTTTGTGTTTGGAAACACTGACAGTGACATGAAATTGTTCAAAACCAGAAAGCTGCTTAACACTGATTCATAAGAACTTTGAATACATCTTCCTTTTTACATTGTTCATCTGTTAGTGTCTTGCTCAAAACAATTTCCAACATGAGATATTTTCTCTTTGGTATTTATAGTCAAAAGATTCAAACTGGTGACCTTCCCGTCGATGGAATTTGGTTGCGACAGCCGCTGGAGTTTTTATCTGTCACAGAGGGAAATGAGGGCAGATTAAGCGTTCTTTCCGGAGCAAACCAGGATGTTTTTTAATAAGCGGAGACATGTTTGTGGCAATTCCAATAAAGGCTTTTGAAATCACATTGAGTTTTAATGGGTGGATTACAAGTGCGTTCTGCAACAGTTTGGAAACATGTGCCGGATAAATTAAACTACAGCAATGGGAAATGATTCATTGACAAGAAAGATAAACTATGTGGTGTTTGGGATATGCATTAGCCAGCAGTTCACTGAGTGCATGCAATAAAGTAAATTAGCTTTTGATGTGCTGGTAAAACTTTTTTTTTAAATAATTAAAACTTAATACAAAAAGAAAAGTGAATCGAAGTCTATAGGTAGAGAGATGCACTATTTTTATAGACAGTTGCAGAGGAATGGGTTAAATGCACACAACGACTTACCTTATGAGGACATTGACGCATATTATTCTGTCTGAATTCTGGCTGCCTAACTTTTTTTTAA